CTTTTAACTTTTTCTTTCTTTATTTTTTGAAAATAAAATAATCTTATTTGTCTCTTATTAATGCATGCTTTCTTCTCGTCCATCATGCAAATGCAAACTTTCAAAAATATAATGATGGATTCCACACCTACCTTATTTTACTCAATAATTTGTTTTCTATTTCACTCTTCATATCAGTTTTGAATATATTTACTTTGGCTATAAAATTTTTAAAATAAAGTTCCATTACAATTTGTTTGTCTAAATATTTTGACTTATACATAGAGTTTAAGAAAATAATATCTATTTTGAATTTTATTGTCTAAAATATGTTAAGTGAAAAATTAGATTAATGAGTTCCAAAAAAAATAAAGAGATATATTTTTTGAAATAAATTTATATAAAAAAAGTAAAACAGACAAATTGAGACAAAGGAGAGGTTAGTGAATACACCGAATTGCAAAGTCACCTAATCTTTTCGTGCATGTGTTTCGTGTGATATTAAGTAAATACATATGATCATCTGTTAGCTTCTAATTATATATATATAAACAACTAATTATCTCATTGTGTTTGTTGTCTTCTTAATCAACTCTTTTTCTTTTTCCACTCTCAGATAATAAATTAAAAATCTGTCTCTTTTCAAACTTATACTTAAAACACCATAACTTGTACTACATTTTTTTTCCAATTTGTATTGTGTCCATCAACAAAATATAAAATATGCGTTTGTTTTTTTCTTCTTCGAAAAAAGGAGGTTAATTAGGGGTAAAGGGTAATTTGGTGAAAAATGGACTTGTACGTATGCAAGATTTTACTTCTATCATCGATAATATTTGTCGTGAAATAAATATGATCACTCAATTCTTAATTAGACGTCTCCAGATCGAGTTTTGATATATAAAAAAATCTAATATAGAAAGTTTTTTTTCAATGAATCTTACACTACATAAATTTAAATTAATCAAGCCAATTGAAGATTATTTTTTAAAAAACACTTTATACTTCCAAGATTAGCTAAATTTAATACTCCTCTCATTCCTCTTTAATTGTTATAGTTTTCTTTTTGAGAGTCAAATGGTATGAATTTCGACTAACATTTTAAGATTTATTTTTTTCATCATATTGATATGAAAAAAAATTACAATTTATTTTTCTTATAATTTTTGAATATCTAAGATTTGTTTTAAAATATCAAAAATTAATTTAATCTAGTTTTGATTTTAAAAAATTAATCAACAATTGACTATGTAAAAACACCAACATGACAACTTAAAAGAAATGAACGGAATACCAAGATTTGTTTTTTTCTTCTCCTTATTCAAAATTACTCATATCTAGTTGCTATTAAGATTTGCACTTTGATTTTGCTCAAAATTTCTTTTGAAAAAAGTAACTAAATGTCAAAATTACTTTGTCAACTTTAATTTATACTCCATTATTATCTCAATTTATTGTGTCTACATTCATATCTAACATAATCCAACAAAAGTTACCCCTCTTTTTGACTCAATTTTTTTAAAAAACTGTTTTACTAGAATTTGAACCAATAACAAGGCAGCATTATCTACTTTATGGTCCTACTCTGATATTATAAATTATTGTTACTGAAAGATAATAAAGTAAGTCAAAGTTAATTCAAGTACCAAAAGAAAATCTCCTACAACATTTATTAATTTTTGGTGGGGTGAGGTTGAAAATAAAGGGAGCATGCTTATATATATAATGTGAAACCTCATCATATTTCATGTTAGGATATAATAATATTTTGAAGTCTTTTTATGGATGGCCAACAGGAAGGGAAAAAGAGACTTTTGGATTGTTGTACAAAAGATGGATCAACAGACAGGCATGGGAAACCAGCAATCAAGGCAAAAACTGGTGGATGGAAAACTGGATATCTCTTATTAGGTCTATCTATATACTAACTAATTATACTCTCATTACCCACAACATTCAACCACTTATATCATATGTTCCAATTAATAATATTTCTAATACTAAGGAAACAAAAGAATTAAAAGTACTAATATTTTGTATATGGCCGTAGACTGACGATGTAAAGAACTTTTATACTATCAGTATAATCTAGAGGATAGAAGAAAATGAGGAATTGTCCTAAATAGATTGTTATTACTTGAAATTTTCACAAATTGCATAATTTATAAGCTGAAAGCATTGTTGTTCTTTATGATAATAGGGATCTTCACACAAACAGCAGGACAGATTTCCTGTTTACTTTTCTAGCCAATATACATTGACTATACATGATCATGCACGTGTTGTTTTTAGTTTAATCTGTTGAGTGGACGGTTATTTAGATGAATTAGCTTGTTGTTCTTTGATTGATGCAGTGAGTGAAGGATTAGCTGCAGTTGCATTTACTGGAGTGGAAGTGAACATGGTTCTTTTCTCAAAGACTGTGTTAAGGCAGTCAAATGCTGAAGCAGCAACCATGTTCAGTAAATGGATGGGAACACTTTATATTTTCTCTTTACTTGGAGCTTTCCTAAGTGATTCCTATCTTGGAAGATACCTTACTTCTGTTGTATTTCTAGCTGTTATGAATGTTGTAAGTTAGCTTTTTCCACAAACCACTCTGGCCCCACAATAATAATTGGCGTTTTCGAACAGTAAGGATTCATATAGCCGACCTTTAACTTGCTGTTTGCAGGGTTTGGTGGTATTGTCTCTGTTAACTCAAGCATTCATGCTTGAACCTGAAGGATGTGGAAAGTTGGGAGAGCTATGTAAACCTCAATCACAAGTTGAGGTTGCGATGTTTTATTTATCGATATACCTGCTAGCTCTTGGGAGTGGCTCTATAGAACCAGCACTAGCCACACTAGGAGCTGATCAATTTGATGAGGAGGATCCAGAGGAAAGTCGTTCCAAGACGAAATTCTTTAGCTATTTTTATGTTGCTCTAAACCTTGGATCATTGGTTGCTGAGACACTTCTGGTTTACATGGAAAATATGGGAAGATGGGTTCTTGCCTTTTGGGTATCAACAGCTTGTGGCTTTGTTGCTCTGCTCTCAATCATAAGTGGTGCCCCTAGATATCGACACATTAGACCTAGTTGCAACCCCATTTCCAGGTTCTCTCAGGTAATTGTCGCGTCTATCAGGAAAACAAAGCTTACAGTTCCTACAAATGGAGACGGATTATACGAAGCTCGTGGAAGAAATGAGAAGGACAGCACCAGAAGAATCTCACATACAGATGACTTCAAGTAAGCTTAGCTTGCCTTGTTTTTGGATCTTAATACTTAGTGATGTTCTCCATAATGCTGATTAATTTCATCAACTCAAATATATTACACATTTTTGGAACTTGTATGAATAGGTTTCTTGATCGAGCTGCAGTTATAACCCCATCAGACATGCTGATATTACCAGATAAAAGTGAAATTCCTAACCGATGGAGGCTTTGTACTGTGACACAAGTTGAAGAAGTCAAATGTGTGCTAAGGCTGCTGCCAATATGGTTCTGCACAATCTTGGCATCCATTGTCTTTGTGCAAGTGCTATCTCTCTTCGTCGAGCAAGGATCTGCAATGAACACAAGCACAATGATCTCGGGCTTTCACATTCCACCAGCAAGCATGACAGCATTTGACATCATAAGCACATCCACCTTCATTATTTGCTATGAGAAGATCTTGATTCCTCTGTATGTGAAACTAACCAAAAGTAAGCCTAAGCTCCCGAGTGAGCTACAAAGAATAGGGATAGGGTTGGTCATTTCAACAGTAGCTATGGTGATTGCAGGCTTTGTTGAACAACAAAGACTAAGGTTTGCTAATGAAGGAGGGGAAGAGACAAGTTCTTTGAGTATTTTCTGGCAAACACCACAATATGTGCTTGTAGGAGTAGGGGAAGCATTCATCTATGTTGCTCAATGGGAATTCTTTGCATCACAAATTCCTGATAGTCTGAAGAGCATGGGGCTTGGCTTGTCCATGTCTTCGTCAGCACTAGGTAGCTACTTATGCAGCATCATACTTACTGTAGTAATGAAGATCACAACAAGGCATGGAAAGCCAGGTTGGGTACCTGCAAATTTAAACGACGGGCACTTGGATAGGTTCTTCTTCCTTTCAGCTGCTTTGACTGCACTAGATCTTGTACTATTCGTTATGTGCGCTAAGAGGTATAAATCTATAGCACTAGAAAAACGAGAGGTAGGACAGGATATGGAAGCTACAGCTTGAACTGATGAAAAATGTAACTCAGCGCAACAATTGTTCTAGTGTTTAGGAAGTAAACACAAAATATCAAGATGAGCATTGTGGAGAATTACTCGAGGAAAGAAGAAAACTAAATAGAAAGCATGCTTTAGTTACTGAATGTTATATGTTTTATGTCAATCTTGGCATTGACCAAAACCTCACTTGCAATCTTGATTTTGCTTATAATTCTTCACGGATCATATTGATGACAGAACAGACATATTTTCATGCTTTGGCAGAGTTCACTCTCCACTCATAACCTCCTAGTGCAAGACTTGAAATCTTTCAAACATTGGAACAAACACTAATCCTACTGCATGTCTTTAGCAATACTTTGTATAGTTGTCATAACTATATCAAGTTAATGAGTTTCATAACTATCTTAGGGCAACTTCATCCGTTAGGAATTTCACAAAAGAACTCACCACAAAAGAAAATGTTCTAAAATGCAAATCTGGGACTCCCTTAGGGGCGATAGAGCTTCTAAACATTGTGAGACAACCATGGAGCAGAGTGTCTCATGGATTAACATGGGGATAGATGATACATTTGCCCCATATAACATTATGGCATGATTTATCAGCCATGTGTGCCTCATGCACACCTTGCATCTTGAATTGTTCGGGCATGTACGCCCTCAAAAGTTCTCTCAAGTATTTGCAAATACTTAACTTTTCTCATGAATTTTTAATATTTTAGTTTCAATTTTTATGTCTTAATTATCAACATAAGAGTTCGTGGGGTTTACACACTTTTCCCCTACAGCTATGCCTTTTAAAGCAGTATAAAAGATTCAAAACATCCATACACAACAAACTCCATACCAAATGATACAAGTGTCACTTACAACAACAGGTTACTCATAAGGAACTGCAAATATACTAGCTTATTTTGGGAGGCAAGTTTACAGATAATCCCAATCCCCCTTGCCATAGGAAACTGAGCATCTGCCAGACCTACCTAATGTGAATAAACACTTATTTTCGCATAAAGATGAGTACACTAATAGGATACATGGTACTTCTTGCTTGTTAAAATTGAAAATTACTGCAGGTCACTTGGACATCTTGGCAGCAAGTTCTCTTACCAGCTTCGCAGCAACCATTGCAGTCATGCCATCAGCAGTATCACGCTGTGGGTTGTACTCAACGACATCAGCACCAACGATATCACCTTGAAGGTTATGCAGTATGTTTAGAACATCGCGGAACGAGAGACCGCCTGACTCAAAATGAGATACTCCAGGAGCAAATGCTGGATCCAAACAGTCAACATCCACGGATATATACACGCCCTTTACACCTTCACCAAGTTTCTGATTTTAAATGAAAAGTATTAGACAATCGAGCAAGCAAATAAATCATGAATGGAAACTAGCAGTTGCTATATGAGAGTAGTATGCATCTCGAATCTGGTAAAGAAATACAGACCAGATTCTCCAAAAATTGTCTGTCTCTGGAAAATGTTCGCATTTCATATTGCTCCACACCAAACCTTTTTCCTTGTTCTCGACCTTCTAGATTAATTGATCTAATTCCAACCTACAAACAGAAGATGAAGTACTGTTTTGGTAAACAATTTGTATTCATTGTTAAAACCAAGAAATAAGTTATATTACTTGCAAAAGGCGTCGAGCATAACCACCCTCCATTATTCGTGCAAAGCTTGATGCATGTGAGTATTTGTTTCCTTCAAATGCATCATAAATGTCAGGATGAGCATCAAGGTGAAGGATATCAACAGGTCCTCCAAGCTTTTCAGACACAGCTCTTACAACAGGATAGGATATAGAGTGATCACCCCCTAACACCAAGGGGCGCAATGGATTCTGAAAATGTTAGAAAATTGAAGCATACAGGGTGAGTCCTTTATAATGATTTTAGTAATTTAATGGGTGCATCCTAACAAAGGTCTACTGTATTAAAATACTCTCCGATAGGTGATGGCTTACCTCGTCCATAACTAGCTTGACAGATTCACTTACTGTACTCATCAACCTATCGTCATCTATGCCTGTGTCTCGTAACTCTTGTACTGGCAGATCACCAACATCAGTTAAGACACGTTGATCATCTAATATTTTTCCTGCACAATACAAATAAAGGAATACATGACTCCATTATGTATTTTAACATTCAAGAGGTCTAGCGAATTAGACTGCATTTATTAATTTATTCTTTTCTACACACAGTAGATCCATCTTTACGTGGTATCAGACCCATCCCAATTTGTTGTTCACTGATGATAGCCAACATTTATAATCCAGTTATGGTCTGGGCGTGTTAAGATATCTCATATCTTTTACATGTTCATTTTGTCCAAAGTAATTTTAAAAAGGTAGACTAACCTTCCTCAGTTGTGGAGTTTGTACTGCCACACCAAATAGCCTCTCGTATAAGAGGAGGAGCAAATGCAGGGCCCTGGAGAAATGAAGAGTTGTGTCCCAGAGGAATTCCAAGAAGTGACGTTGACGCTACTGCACCTCCAAGTCCACGAACAAGCTCTCCCTATCAAAGTAACTTAAAATTTAAATCCTACATTTTCAATTTTAAAAGTCCATTTTCCATGATGGTGGTGGTAAAATTACGAATATGAAACCCATAAAATTCTAGATCCGCCTCTGTCCCACTCAAAATAACATACCTTAAGTTTTGCTCTTTCACGAATAAGTGTAAGAGATGCCTCTACAACACGATCCTGTCCTCTTTTGACTACTTCTTTTGGAACATTTGACGTTAGCAATTTCTGCATATAGTTGATTCCCATACTTCCAGCACTCTTCATATTTGTTTACTCTGATTCAACACAACAAAAAGGAAAAATATATAAAAAAAAATGCAGAAACCGAAAGAGCTGGAAATTAAAGTAAACAAAGAATAAAGGAGGAAGTGACTACACAAGAAATGAAGCAGTGTTAAGTGTGATTGAGAGAAAAAAAAAAAGGCAATTGAAGTTAAATAGAGCTAAGAACTTCCTTTTCAGTAGTAATGGAATTGATTACAGCGAATGGATGGAGACTGGAGACTCAACTCTTATCACAATTTACACTCTCACTAAAAAAACATGTTACTTTATCTCATAACAAATTCAAACAGACGATAAGACCTGCAGTCCTTTTTAGCAGTACTGCGACTGATGGTTACTAACGCCAAATCATTTCTCTCATGAAAAAAACATGTCCTCAATCTCATAATAAATACAAACACAATAAAAATTTGATAACTCTACTCCCAAGGTTTGTCGCGCAATGCACATTTAGTAAGACATCATTTCAATCATATTTTTCACAACTGTCTTTTTGTGAAGTTAACTTTGCAGGTGGTTGATTTATTTTTCTCTTAGAAATTGAAATACGCTCCTCCTAAACTACATAAGCTTATCATTATATTCTTATTAAATATATTCTCTTAAATTATTTTTTTAATAAATATATATGAATTTATTTATTGGATAAATGAATATGAATAAATTACTCAATTTTCTATATTGGTCTAATTACTCGTCAAAGGTAAAATAGGAAAAATGGGGTAAGAATATCTATTTTTAGAAATATCAATATGTAAATAGAAACAAAAGGAGTATCAACCTTAATTAAAGGAAAGATCAAATATAGAAAAAAAATTGAATTTTCTATTGAACTTTTTCCAAAAAAAAAAAACACGTAACTATTGTAGCGACCTAGTACATAATTTTTTGACATTAATGTCACCTTCTAAAGACAATTTTCAATTTTGTTTTCTAAAGACAATTTTCAATTTTGTTTTAAAATGTATTGTACACACAATTTTACATGTAAAGAATATTATTTAAAGTTTTTTAAACCTGTTTTCCTTGATATTTTTTAGATTTTTGCAAAAAAAAGAACCTAGCTCTGCTCTAACCATACATATCTCTTTAAAATTCATTTCTTCGTTTTTCTTCATTGTTCATAAATGGAAGGAAAAATATATTTTAAAGAGAAAATAGGAGACAGTAAATCGATTATGAAGTATACAAATGTTGGCGGCGGCGGGCAACATCATTTTTGCTAGTGGAATAAATAAAAAATTTCAAAAATCTGTAAAATTCTTTAAAAACTTGATAACTCTGTAAATCAAATATTTCATTAGTATTTTCTATTTGTGATGATGATCAAAGATAGAAAAATGATATTGTAGTCATTGTAGGTAGTGCTCCAACAAGAATAGAAAAGATAAATAATGAAAAAGAAAATTCTCGATGAACTTTTGATAAATTTAGATAATAAAATCATAAATTTTATGCATAAATATTACAGAATTTTTAATTGAAGTCATTATCATAATTTTGTTTTGGTGAGCTTTTGATTTGATGAATCCTCCGCTAGTTCGAACGAAAAAATCATAAACTTTAAATTAAAAATTATTAATAAGAAAATCATATTCTTTACTCCTTTCTATTACTTCTTAAGAATTCCCTAAGTTGAAAATTATTAATAAGAAAATCATATTTTTTTACTCCTTTCTATTACTTTTTAAGAATTCCCTTTTAAGGGTAGAGTGTTAAATATGCTGCCATCAAATAATTGATAATACAAATTACAGTGATTATCGAAGAAGAACTCAAAATAAAGAAAAATCTAAAAATTTAAAAAAGTTTGGGCCACCAATAAAAAGATGTAAAAAAAAATTGACATAATTAATATATTAAAAATTATAATACTTAACTATATAATGACCAATAAAAAAGTTTATTGTGTTTAAATTTATCATTTTAATATATATTTTTTCTTCTCATGCACCACACCTTGAGAAGGTGAAGATATTTTCTTTGTCACGTCACCTTCAAAGAGGTATTAATATCACTTTGAATAATATTAGGTGTGTAATAGGCTACGACAATAGTTTAAACGTGCAACTGACTTTTCAAGACAGATTCAAGAGGAAATTTATGTGTTTTTTCAAAAAAAAATAAATTGAATATCCATCTTAAACTTTGAATAATAAAATATATTTCAAAAATTCTATTAATATAAAATAGAGGAAGTGACTAATAGTATTCACACCATACAATACTACGGGTATCCATCCAAACAAGGTAAACATTGGAGAAGCCGACTTCTCTCCATTTCCCTTCTCTCTATTTTCTCCAAGTTTCTTTTGTATTGATGACATATAGTTAATTTAATGGCTAAATTTAGTTTTTAATTATATGCTATGTGCCAGCATTTCAAATAGAAACTTAGAGAAAATAAAAAAATAAAGAGAAATCGATTTTGAACAAACACTAATCCCACTGCAGGTTTAGCAATAATTTTATCGTTGTCATACCTATATTAAGTTAATGACTTACATAAAGATATTTGCCTAAAACCAACCAACATTATGCCACATTATTCGGACAAACATTTTGTGTTTGAACTTCTCTTTAAGTATTTCTAAATACTAAACTTGTTTTTGTGCTAAGATTATTAAATTGATATCTTAATTTATGATGTGCTTACAGTATTATGTCTAGATAGTTAAGTCAATTACCGTACAAGTATTGCTTTTGAATTACATTAGTTTTTGACTCAAAGTACTTTGATATAATATTTGTAATTTTGAAAAGAATAAAAAATTATGTAATTAGTTCTTAACAATGTAAAATGGGAAAATTGTATATAATGGCAAATTAATAAATTCACCCTTTGATTTAATTGTGTCCCGTAGTAAACTGTTTGTCAGTCATCTCTCTCCCTCAAACTCTCCCTTGCCACTCTCCTCTCTCGCTCGCTTCCTCTCCATTTTATACAAACAGAAGTGTATAAAATTTGTTTCTATTTGTATAAAGTAGAGAAAATTGTATAAATATGTATATTTTTATTCCCCTCTCTCCCACTTCCAGATCTCGCTCGCCACTCTCCCTAATATCGCTTGCCATCTTCGCCTCTCTCGCTTATACAAATAGAAGCGCAGTGTATAAATTGCATTTCTGTTTGTATAAAGCGAGAGAAAATTGTATATACACATGCAAATACATATATTTTCGTCCTACACACTTATAATTATACAATAAAAATATTCCCCTACCCAGTTCTTTTGCCTTTCTCTCTTTCCCGTTTTATTCAAATTCAAATTGTATATAATTTCTCTCTTTCTCGTTTTGTATATTCGCTGCTTCAAATCTCTTTTGCCTTTCTCTCTTTCTCATTTTGTACAAATTTAAATTGTAATAAAAATAACACTACACACACATTTAAGATGATAAATATCAAGTTATAAACATATTTTTTAATAATAAACTATTTATAGCATATTACTATCAAGTTATAGCATATCAAGAAAAAACATATTATTCTCATTAATTTTTTTAAATAATAATAAACTTATTTAAATAATTACATTTATTATTCAGTTACCTTTTTTAAACCAATGTAGTTAATTAAATTAATTATTTTAAGTTACCTTTTTTAAACAAAACTCTTAATTAGTGTAAATTCAAATAAATATTATATAGTTACCTTTTTCAAAAAAATTACAAAATAATAGGGATTTTATCATTCCATAATTAATAACTAGTATCTAAAATAATTACAGTTTTATTTTAAAACTGTCACACTGCCCCATTTGTTCTTCCTCAAATCCTCACAAAATCATCTCTTTTGCACGCCTAACAATTAATTTTTTACCAAATCATCTCTTTTGCATGCTCAAAAAATTTTCAATCTTAACAGTCATCTTCTCAAATTCTACTATTTTGCACTCAAATCTTCCTTTTCTGCACTCAAATCTTCATCTCTTGCACTTAAAAAATTGTTCAATGTCGAAGAGAGGCAATGAAATCCTGCGAAAATTCAAAAGGTTGAATGATGAACAAAGCTCAGACGAATTTCATGCTCCATCTTTCAAAATTTTATCACAAACTCAGCCTTCATATGCAAAAGACAAAGCTAGATCAGAGAAATCAAAAATGAAAAAAAAACAAACAAACATCCAAAGGAATCCGAGAAGAAGAGAAAAGGGAAAGAAAAGCAGAAAGTAGACGAATCAGAGAAAAGGGCAAAAGACAGAGGAAAGAAAAGGAAAGGAAAACAAATTGAGTACTCATCAGATTCTGAATCTGATTTTGTAGAAGAATTGATAAAATCAAAATAAAAAAAAATCAAGAACCTCTGAAATCGATACTTCGCATTTACAAGAAGAAGAAGAAACAGTTAAACTCAAAAAAAATTTAAAGGTTAGTAAAAAAAAATTTAAAAAAAATTAAATTAAAATTATCTATTTAATTTTATTCTAATTTCGAGTTAATTGTGAATAGTATAGTACATTTTTATGTTCTTTTATTTATGTATGAATTATGTATGATTCACTGTATGAAATTACACATTTTTTTATATTACAATATCAATATATGAAACATTTATGAATTGTGTATGATTCAATGTATTAATTTGGTATGATATGTATATTAAATTTGTTTGATTTGTGTATTAAGTTTTGTATCAAGTTTATGATATTGTTGAATATTAATATCCATAATAAAATTACATACTTTATGTTTTGATTTGTATATTTAGTGTTGAATATATTGTATATGAAAGAATGTTGTAAGTTTGTATGAAATGCTACATCTACTTTATTACATTATAAATGTATAAACAATGTATGAACGGTGTATGAATATATTGTAATACAAAATCAAAAAAAGCAAAAGGCATTGAAATTGATAGGTCAGAGATAAGCCACAAATAAACCTAAACAAGTTGTTAAGGTCAGTAAAAAGATTTTTTCAAATTTCAATTAAAATGTATGATTTAAGT